TCCTACTACCTGCATAGCTCCACCTAATTCTCCCGGAATTACTCAAATGGCCAGGAATACTTGACTGGTGTACTCTTCAGAGCTGAGAGAATCTAGTGGTACCCACGAATATGCTTTATCATCTCTTTCCAGCTTCTAATAGCCCCGTCCGAATTCCATGCCACTACCATTCTCTCTTTAACTTCTTGAAGAATAGTCTGACAGCAACAGCAACAGGCTCATCGTGTATCCACCGACCAGAGGTTTACTTTACAACCATGGTACCTCCAAACACCCTCCACCTTCTTTCCATGGCGTTTAATAATAGCACTCCTAATTCTATAATTTCTCAGAAATCTCCTCGGGCTATTCAAAAATACCCGTAAGACTATGGAGAGTTGACCGATGGGATTAACTAGCCCTTATAGCTCTATTGGTACCACCCAAATCGCTGTTTTGTAACAGTACAGCTTGTAACCCCCATCCTCTCATTTCCACCATTTTGCAGAACTGCCCAAACTTTTCCAAAAGCACCCACATTACCACAGAGACTTGATCATAGTGGTTAACTGAAGAATATCTGTCTAGTTACGCCACTTAAATCTCTCCTACTATCTCATATAACGTTTTACCACCCATCCTCCTTTTTTAATTCCCTCATACAACTGGCCACAAGTTCATCAGAAATACTCGCCTAACGATAGGGACTTCATTATAGTGTTCCTCAATGTGAGTGGATGTCTTAGGTTCCACATGTTTCTTCCCTTTCACCTCTTATCTACTTTTAAGCCGGATATTCAAAATTCAACCATTTCACAGTACTGTACTTGAGTTAAATGATTCAATAATACTCATATCCTCATAGTGACTTGACCAATGGGTTCCCAAGGTCTGTACAATTCTTATAGCACCACTTAAGTATCTCCCAGTACTCGTGGGTGATTTTGGAGGAGTTAAGTGGAGTTGTGTAGTTATAGGGTTGGAGGATTTGGGTCCAAAAAGTCGTAAATTGTAGCTAGAGAGTCCAGAATTGTAGCAATAAAATCTGCTAGAACCAAGGACTATTTCTGTTAAGTCAGCATATATATACATATATTTCCGAGAGAGATCAGGGTGGGTTTCGAGTTTCCTGGAATTGGAAGTGGCGGTGTTAAAAGTTGTTTAGATATAGTGGAAGAGATATTAATGGTACCATCAGCATCCTCCGAGCCAGGGTAATCGTCATATTTTCTCCCCGCAGTGATAGAAGTATTCTTGAGAAAGTTAGGGACTAATTTGTGAGAGGTCAAGGTGGGGGATGTCGTTGCTAAAAGTTGACAAGAGGTACTAGTAGAGACATCAAGGGTACCAAACGGTCCTATTAGACACGATAATGATGCCCAACAACTCGTAATTACGATGTAGATAATATTTGAGGAGTTAGACAGAGTTATATGATGATGTAGAATAGGAATTGGCGTTGTTAAAAGTAGCAGGGGAGTCTTGGAGAAGATAGAAGCTAAAGCAGACATATGTACGACCCTGAAGAAACTCTCTGTTAAACGGTTATGGAGATGTGGATAATTTTGGTAAAGTGAGATGCTTTTTGAGAAAGAAGTATTTTAATAGGTTGGTGGCAAAAAGCCAGTGGGAGGACTCAGGGGAACAGCGCAACGTATTATTGCAATTACCAGTCCCCAGAGAATGCATTGGTCAGGTCCCCACGACTATATGAGCATTTCTGATGAAGTTGGGGCCAGTTCCGAGAAAAGTACAAAAAAAGGGGATCGGTTCCAAGTAGATGAAATGTATCAGGAGAGATATAACGGGTATAGTTCCAATTCTCCAAGTGGAATGAACACTAGTATTAACTTGGAATAGGGGTGGGGGTATTTTTGAAGGAGTTGCACCGAGTTCCGTGGTGAGTAGAAATGTGATGTCTCGATTCAAAGTGGGAAAGCTAGAGATGGAGAGCATCAATGGTACTAATTGGTTCTACTGTCTCCAAGTAACACAATGTTCAATTTGGCTGATAGATACCGGTATTTATGAGCCAGTTGGAAGGGACTGTAGAGTCCAGCACAGATCTCGTATTTACAGAATTGAACTCAACTCCACTAATACTGCTCACATAACCATAGGGACTTGACCAGAGCGTTCTGCGGCCCCCGAAGAATCCAACGGTACCCCACAATCCTCCCTATCATCCCTTATCCGACTTTTGACCCACCCCTTCCAGTTCTACTCAACCAGACAACTGCCTCAAACTTCACGAAAACTCCCCCTATCATAAGGGGAACTTGACAGTTGCAATCTCCCAATCTATACGATTCGAATAGTTCCCATGGAGTCTCAGTTATGACATTTTACCGACTGTTAAACCGAGACACCTAATTCTTATCCTTCACAGAGCTCAGTCCCTCTCCGTCAGAAATGGTCACATTACCATGGCGATTGAACGAGAGTATTCCTCGGGACTAGAGGAGCCTTGCCATACCATGTAAGTATCACATATCCGCTCTAACAGACTTCTACATCTTCTGATCTCAAATATACCGTACCAACCAACCCGTCCTAAATGCCGCAAATATACCCTCATCATCATGGCGAGTTTTCCATCGTGATTCTACCGTCTCTGCAATACTCTCGATACCCTGTTTGTCTTTGTTACTAGGAGTTTCCCCCTTTTGTTCCAACATCAATTTCTACCAGAGGGCATAACTAGCTCTAAATGGCTCATAATAGCTGTATCTAATACCTGACAAGACCACAGTGATCTTGAAGAGCAGGGGGGATCTGCAATAGTACCAATTCAAGTCGTTACATACATAGCTGATTATAAACGGAAACCCATATTTTCCACATTTTCCACATTGAGAAATAGCGGTCTATTCACAGATACTCGACTAGAAAATTCCCCATGCTCAGGCAATAATACCCAGAACGTCTGTTTAATCTCCACGGAATATACCAACCCCTACTTCTACTTGACCACAACATCGAAACTGGATGAGGCAGCCCTGGTCACTGTAAATACTGTCTCAGACCCGTAGAAGACAGTGGACTTCCTACTTAGTACAAGAAGTGAACTGAAGTAAACGCAAGTCGGAAGCAGGAACAAAGTAGGAACTTCCCAACGTCTCGAAATGAGAGAGGAACACTTCGTTTGATGTACAACACTCAATGAGAACACAACCACATCATCTGGTGTATATAGATCATGTGAAAGAACACCAGATTGTTCATTGAGAAGAACCCCAGATTGATCAATGAGAATGGAACGCTTTGTCTAATGTATCTCTCAAGCGTAAGCAAAGACTACCTTTCAATCACCATCGAATGAGACAGAAGAGTCCGAGTCAACCGAAGAGTACCTGTACTCACATGCAGCAGACAGATGTGAAATCAAGTGAAATGCGAATGTGACGTTGTAGAGTGGTCCATTGACATTTCAAAGCAGCTAAATCAACTCGCTACCGCTCGCTGATCTTCTTCTCACGAGAACAACTCGCTAACGCTCGTTGTTATCGCTCGTTTCTGTTCGCCTCCATCTCCTCATAAATATCATCCAACACTCCCCTCTTCTTCTTCCCCCCCTCCACCACCACCGTCTGCCTCTCATAGTGAGGAGACCACCTGGTAATCTTTCCGTCCAAAGAACCCGAGTAATAATCCTCATACCCTTCCCCCCTTCCTGTGACACACGCAGACCGAGCCACATCATGGCCTCTACTCATACGACACACCATCTTTCCGTCTTCAACCTGGTACATGAAGATCTCCCCAGAGTCACTGGGAACCATCACCTTGTGGGTCTCGTGGTTCTGGAACATGAGACACGGATTGATTGTCTGCAAAAACTTGTTTCTTAGAAACGGACCGTAGTTGACCAGCTTGTTCATACCCTCATTCGGTATCAGGTCCCAAAGACGCAGTTTTTCGTCGTTTCCAAAAGACAACAACGTAGACCCGTCTGGCATCCAACACAGACCGTTGGCAGCAGCTCTATGAGCTCTAGGATGACTAAGACGTTTATCTACACCTCTTCTGAGCGGATTGGCCTGAGCTGTAGGAGTCAGAGTATGGTCTAGCATCAGCACACAGGAATCGCTTCTTCTGACGTCCCACAGCCGCACACTGCCATCAGTACCTCCTGTAGCAATAAGAGAACCGTGGGTAGGAGACCACTTGGCAGTAAGTACCTTGCCTTCATGCCCCTTGAGAATCTGGGCAGCTGCAGTAGTTCTCAAGTCCAACATGCGTACATACGGATGATCTGCTGCCGTAGCAACCATCGCATGTTCTCCCACACTGCTAATATCAGCGCTGTAGATACGCGTACCAAGATCAAACTTGTACGCCTCCTGCATCGAGTTTGTGTCCCACACTTTTGCTGTGCCGTCAAAAGACGTGGTCACAAACAGCCCCGAGTCGTGGGGCCACCACTGGACGTGAGAAACGCCGTATTTGTGTCCTTTTTGTCTGTCAATCGCTGCCAACTGCGAGTATTCCACTCCGTCGCTCGAATTGAGACTTTTCCAATCTTTTCTAGCACTCAGTTCCAGATCCCAAAGTCGGATGCTGGAATCTGCGCCACCACTTAAGAGGTATCTTTGGTCCACGTTTTCTACCGACAACGAGTTGACGGCTCCTACATGGATCTTGGGAAAAGTAGCATGCGCTTCAGTTGTGTAATTTTTGAGGGATTCTTGGTATAGTGCTTCTTTGAGCTCCCATGGAGGCAGTACTCCCGACTCTCGGCTTCTGACAAATGAGAGCATGCATACAGTGGGTAACAGAAGTGAGTCAGAAGTGGAGTATAGAAAGTTGAGTATAAGGCAGAACAGAAAGTTGAATAAGGCAGAACAGAAAGTTTGGTGATGATGAAAACAGACACAACACTACAGTAAAAAGAAGAGACTATAAAGACCGTCTAATTCCAGAAAAGAAAATACACAGTCACTCTCCGTCCAAAAAAAGTGTTGATCAGCTGAGAAGCTACCGGAATCAAACCGGCTTATTTTCCTCCACTGTCATAGACATGACATGGACAGGAATTGAACCTGCAACCCTTCGATTACAACCACAGTTGACTGGAGTCGAAAGCTCTACCATTGAGCCACCACATCAACACGATCTTAAAAAAATCGAAAAAGTGGCCTCCGCACTAGGAAAGATAGGTCACGTGAATTAAGGTTTGGAGCTTAATAAATCGGCGAAATAAAAAAGAAATTTTAATCCCTAGAATCAAAAAAAAAAAAAAAATGTTGAAAATACAGAAATATGGGTAATCGTCTATAAATTGGGTCCAAATGGTTTCACGGGTTCCTATTATCGTCCCAAAATGGATATATCTCACCCCACTGTTGTAGGGTAACTTGAATTCTTGCTCTGTATCAAATCAAAGTCGTATCTGGGGTAAGAACCTCTTTGAATGAGTGTATTGAATAACAGAAGACTTTGTATGTAACTATGTGTGCTTACTGTGGAAGAAGATTACTATCAATTCACCTACTTTCCAATTGCTTTCAATTCTGTTGTGTCTTTAGCTTACAAGTTGTCTAGTCATATGTGAGCTGTAAAGTACGCCCCAAAACCCAGTAATAACAAATGTATAGATCTATATCTATCTAAAGCACCAACGACTAAAACTCAACATTTCGAGGGTCCTTGAGGGCGTGCTTGATGTACTTTGTATGTCGTCCTCGAGCGAAAAGAGACAGGTCCGAGGCGTTGTAAAAGTCTACAGAAGTGTAGGCCAGAGATCGGCCCATGTTGTCTAGGATACAGTCCATGATGATCTTGTTGCCAATCTTGCCGCCAGAACCAATGTACGATACATTGATGTCAGTAGACACACCTGTAGCGAAAGATCCAGAGGAAGCTACAGCCATAGATCCTCCCAGGTCGACCAGAGACGCGATAGTGCCTCCGTGGAGAATTTGAAGTCGGTTGGTGTGTTCTTTGGCTACTGTAAGGCCTAGTCGGACTTTTCCTTTTTCAGCAGAGTCGATAGAGAGCTGTGTTAGCAAGAGAGAAAAAATGAAATAAAATGAATAATAATGAATAAAAAAGAAGAAAAAAAATAGGAGAAGGAATTGACAGTAGAAAGACGCAATTGGCGCCTCTCGGAACTCTGCAGGTTCAAACAATTGCCTTTGGGTATCACTTTAGGAGACATGTTTAAATCATGGAGAGATTTAGACTGAACATGGGTCATATCGTAAATGACGCAATTTGATGCCAATTGAGCCAAAAAAGGCGGAATCAACTGACAACAACAACACCCACTCACTCATCACCAACATGTCCTAAATGACCGAAAATTGACCGAAAATTGACCGAATCCACCGACTTCTCTACCACACACTCACCTGAGACAACAAAGTAGGCTCGAGACCACTGAGCTGGAGGAAATCTCCCCAGACCTGCGTTAGTATTGCGTTGCTAGGCAATCAGACACTTTATCGGGCTCCATACTCACCGCTCGAACGTGTTTGAGAACCTGGGCGTGCGACATGTTGGTGTGGGGAAGATGAACCTGCATGCATGAGGAAAGTATCGTAGAGGGAAGGTTGGGGAGGAAGAGGGGGAATGTGGTGGGTTGGAGGTGACACGTAGAGAGAAGCTGGTTGTATAGTTGGAATGGTAGAGACGAGGAGATTTGATTTCAGTTCTTAGAGTTGAAAAAGAGTGGATATTGAGCGAGACAGATGCAGTTTTGTTTGTTCATGTTTAGCAATGTAAATTTGGAGTGAATTTGGTGGGACTTGGTTGGGAGGGAGTTTTATAGAAGTAAAGGTAAGTAAAGTACTTAACGTTAGACAGAGTCATGATAATACCTTGATATGTATCTGAAATGTTGGAACCGTATCCTAAACAATGGAATATTCATATTTATAAAAGACATAAAAAATACAATAAATATCACCCTTTGAAGACACACATCTACACTCATTCATCTCTCCATACTTTACCTCACTCGACTGCTTACAACCTAAAAAAATTGGATAAGCTCGCCATGCATTCTGATTTGTAAGTGAAGAAACAACTTCAAGAGAACTTCTATACCACCTAGAAACACTTCAAACACCACCAAAAACCACCAAACACAATGTCTGACATCTGGGACGACGAGGAAGTGCGGGAAACACCTAGCGAAGTCACTCGGGTCAAACGGGACCATTCTCAGGCAGGATACCTGGCAGGAGTCACCAAGGCAAAGGATGAGAGTCTACAAGAAGGCTTCAACGCAGGATACCCCATTGGAGGACTTTTGGGGCTTTCTATTGGCCGCATTTTGGGGTATTTACAGGGTAAGGGTCTTGTTGAGGAGGAAAAACAGGCCCGCAAGGAGCTCAGCAGTACGAGGATTTTTGACCGACAGTACTGGACCACCGAGGCTGCTCCTACTTACGAAGGTACTCATCCTTTGGTGAAGCAGTGGGAGGACAAGATTGAGGTCATTAAGAGAGGTTAGTTGGAGGAGTTGAGCTGGAGGAGTATGATCTGTCGTACTGTGATCAGTCAAGTTATGTCCGCTTTGATCAGTCAAGCCATGTCCTGTTTGATCAGTCAAGTCATATCACTTTACCGTGGTTCAGACAACAGACAACTTTTCAACATGACATTCACTCCAGCTACGGCATAACTGAAAGCACTAGCCTATGAGTTCTGAGCATAGAGGAAAAGTACGATAACCGGTGACCACCACAATACTGTCCTCTAGAGTACAACAGGTAACACTCACAAGTACAAACTCTAGGAACCACATCATCGTACCTACTATTTAACGATTAATGAATGTACTATAGATTTGAGTAGAGATTTATACATCATTTCAACCTGTACTTGTATGTACGATACGATACTGTCTCATGCTAGGCTTTCAACATAGAGTAAATTATATATACTCTAGAAGCAATAAGACACTCTCAAAACATAAACCCCTTATTCAATCAATAATTAATATATATTTTAAAGTGAATAAACCGGTCGGAGACTCATATATCCCCCATATCCACTCTTCAATCTCCCTACTCCATCCTAAGTAACTCTATAAGTACATTAGTTGAAACTTACTTACCCCCAATCTCAAAGTTTAGACATGCATGAAATTTCATCCTTTGATATCACCAGAACGAGCACTTTCCCCAACGCCATGACGAAACTGGAGGTGCTACAGCCCCACAGTGTTGGCAAGCGGATTGCGTCGATAGCCGTGAGCGGTTCGTTGGCCCAGCAACAGCGGCGGATCGAGGAGGGAACTCTGCGTACTCGGGACAAGCTGCGCAAGCGACAGAAAGATTTTTCTCGACCCACGGCCAAAGAAACGTTTTTTGCGGGTGTTTCCAAGGAAACCCGGTTTATCGACACATACACGGCCCGTTTGAGGCAGTCGTATCTCACCTTACTGTTTGAGTGTCCTGTGGAGTGGCAGTTGGTGAATGGAGGACTAGACCCTACAGAGGACCAGACAGGGCTCTGGAGGGCACATATTCGCAATACTCAGGCTTGGGTGCTGGGCAACGGACACGAAAACGAAACTGCCGAGGCTTTGGAGGCCCGGATAGCCACCAATCTGCAGACTCAGGTGGTACATAAGTCTCTGTTTGCAGGCACTCTCAAATGCATAGAATACGACGATCCAGCGTTGGATTTATCGTGGACGGAAGGAAACAACGCGAATAGAGACGACGTCATGGCTCTCAAGGTCCAGCGAAGTCCGTCGTCGATTATAGCGTTGTTTTTGGGCTCTCAGTGGACCATGTCTCAAGCTGCAAAGTTGTTTGATCAAAAACCACACATGCCGCTTTTGGGCGCAATTATGACCTCCAAGTGGAACAGACATCTTGAAGAGGCTTCGACGTTTCTTACCGACGAACACAAACCGCTCAAGGGTCAAGGTGGAGCTTTGGCAGACCTTTTGAGACGTCTGAGTCACTATGGACTTACTCAAAGTAGTGAAGGACTGGCAGATTACCTGTATTTGAGCAGGCCAGATAAGAAGAGGATTAAGGAAGGTGCAGAGACGGAAAAACGGAACCAATAGCATTGTACATAGCATAGAGTAATATGAGGAGGTATCAGGAGGATACAAATATCTACAGTAATATTCTGTTTAATAGATATCCATTTACACAAGATAAACTGTCAGATAACTATGACAGGACTAGGTATCCAATATCTGTCGACAGTCATACTTTTGGGCTGTATTGTTTTCAGTTTCCCAGAGCATAGTTAAGCTGAAGTAAAATTCCACTAAACTCCCAACAGGTCCCCCCAGGGAAAGCATGAAGAACAGTCATATATTCGGCTATACTGCTCTAAAAGACTGGTATCGCCGTTTTAGTTGGAAATATGACAGCCATATACCAGATGATTTGCTCCTCCTATCTTTAGTATGTCGCCAACTCCAGATTGGAACCCCCAGCGGACTTTCTAGTCAACAAATATCTAACTAAACTCATTAACTAGGAATAATTCGTGAAAAAACGTGTGTAACTGATAAAAAAATAGGGTAAGAAAATCATTCAAGGTATCATTGGAATGCTCAGAATCCAAAAACCCTCTGGTAAAGTCTTTATAGTGATGTAGATAATTCTGGTGCAGTTGGGGCGGGTTCTGTGAAACGTAGCAAACGAGGGTTTTCGTTTAAGAATTGACCAGGCAAATAGAGGAGTATCTCACAAGATATTTCTTGGGCCATCATATAGCAAGAAATCTACTAGTCAAGTCAGCGTAATGATGCGGGTGTTTTTGAAAGAGTTGGAAGGAGTCCCATGATGTGCAGAGCTTGAGGTGAAGTTCATAAAATCTGTAAAGAGGTAGGAGGAGAGGATTCAAGGGTATCAAAACATTCCACTAAGTCTGAGGGATCTAATGGTCAAGTTTATGTGTCTGTGCTGGTATTTCTGGTGGACTTCAATGCTGTTGTATAGCTACGTAGAATTGGATGTGGTGGTGGTAAATGTTGCAAATATGGAAGAGAAGAGGCCTAATTGGTATCATTAGAATCGATAGAGCTGTCCGGACACACCTATCCAGTGCCCAGATCGGTATGAATATTTCTGGTGAAGTTAGACGGGGCTGTATATGCAATACTCTGAAGGATAACAGCGTCAAGTTT